TGGGTGTTGCTGGTATGGCCACCGGCAACGAAGAAATCTACGAGTCATTGAAGACGGTGCTTTACACCGACTCTGCAATCAACGGCGAAGCTGTCGGTCTTGCCATGGGACTCGTAATGCTGGGCACTGGGAACATCAAGGCGCTTGAAGACATGATTCAGTATGCCCACGACACCCAGCATGAGAAGATTGTGCGAGGCCTTGCGATGGGCATGGCTCTCATCATGTACGCCCGTCAGGAGGCTGCAGATGAGCTTATCAACGGATTATTGGAGGACCCTGACCCAACACTGAGGTATGGTGGTATCATGACCATTGCACTGGCATACTGTGGAACAAGCAGCAACAAGGCCGTCCGCAAGTTGCTCCATGTGGCTGTCAGCGACGTCAGTGATGATGTGCGCAGGGTAGCTGTCATGAGCTTGGGCTTTGTCCTTTTCCGCAAGCCTGGTGCCGTCCCTAGAATGGTTGAGCTCCTTGCCGAATCGTACAACCCACACGTGCGGTACGGAGCCACCATGGCTCTGGGTATTGCCTGCGCCGGCACTGGCTTGGATGAGGCCATTGATCTCCTGGAACCAATGATGAAGGATTCGACCGACTTTGTTCGGCAAGGAGCCCTCATCTCCTTGGCGATGATCATGGTGCAACAGAACGAAGCCATGAACCCCAAGGTTGGCACGGTGCGCAAGACTCTACAGAAGGTCATCAGCGACCGTCATGAGGATGCCATGGCGAAGTTTGGCTGCGCCCTGGCTCTTGGTATCATCGACGCCGGCGGCCGTAACTGCACCATAGGCCTCCAGACGCAGACTGGCAACCTCAACATGACGGCCATCGTCGGAATGGCTGTCTTTACTCAGTACTGGTACTGGTTCCCCCTGACCCACTTCTTGTCTCTGAGCTTCACCCCGACCGCCATCATCGGTGTGGACCAAGACCTCGAGATACCTAGCTTCAAGTTCCACAGCGCGACGAGGCCAAGCATGTTTGACTACCCGCCGGAAGCAGAGGTCAAGACTGAAGAAGTGCCCGAAAAGGTCAAGACTGCTGTGCTCTCTACCACTGCACAGGCGAAGCGCCGGAAAATGGTCAAGGAGAGGCAGCAGAGGAGGGAAAGCATGGATGTTGACCAAACTCCCACTACTCCCAAAGTCTCGACAGCCGACGAAGACAAGATGGACACTGATGAAGAGCCCAAAAAGGATGAAAAGGGTGACAAGGCTGAGGGCGAAAAAGAAAGCACACCTGCTGCCGAAGGTTCAAAGAAAAAGGTGGAAAAAGAGAAGGTTGGCTACGACCTCGAAAACATGTCGAGAGTCCTCCCAGCGCAGCTCAAGTACATTAGCTTCCCCGGTGAACGCTATGTTCCCGTCAAGAAGGTCAGTTCCCATTTTGATTGCGTCCGGCAAAAGCTAATACCTGAGCAGCCCACGGGAGGCGTTATCCTCGTCACGGACACGAAGCCCGACGAGCCCAAGGATCTCTTGCAGCTAGAACTCAAGAAGGCTGCACCCACACCGGCTCCTGGGGCTCCAGGCCACACTCTGGAGGATCGCGTCAACCAAGCCTACGCTGAGCGTGATGCTGGCAACTCTCATAGCACAGGTGCTTCCGAGGCGGCAGGTGTTTTGACTGCTGTTGACGAAGATGACGATTCGATGGGAGAGGAAGCAAGCCCACCAGGGAGCTTTGAGTACTTTTCGGAGAACGACGAAGAGTAGATTCTCCATCCCCGCGACCGCCTTGCTTCCCTTCGTTACTGTATTCTTCAGGCGGCAAGTCATGCTGACGCTCACCAGTGATTCTGGTGAAGTGTTTGCTTCGGTCAGTTCGTCAAGTCGCCCGCCTAGGCCATCCGGAGCGGAAACTCATGCCGCCATGCCGCTGATCGTTCCGCTCTGGTGGGAAGATGTTACCGCTTCCTCGTCTGAAGATGAGGATGGTGCCGAGGGTGGGGACTAGCGATTTGCTGGTAGTTGACTGGTCTGAGTTCTTCGGTTTCGGTTCAGCATCTGGATGGGCGTAATGCTGGGATGGGTGTTGGGTGGACAAGCCAGCAAAGGTTGGCTGTAAGTATACACTGGCGGAAAACAATAGAAGAGAGGATCCTCGTGTCTCACCTGCAGGCCATTTCGTACCTGCACTTGACCAAAGGCAGATGTACTTTTAGCGGCCGCTCTCCATTTTTTCAATCGAACACTTCAATCAAATCATTTCAAGTCTTTCTAGCCGACTTTGTTTCCGAGAAATTTTCCGCCAGATCCGCCCTGCCCCCGTCTCTTGAGCGGGGAGGGGGGGGGGGGGGGCGCGCTCCTACTAATTCAGACTGTGGCAGCTGATCGAGGGAAAGGACGGAATTCCAGAGTCCAAATCACTCTTGCGACAATAGAAGAAGCACGTCTGAGCTCAAGAAAAGCAAATGTCTGGCTAAGGCTTGTTCTGACGTCCAAACAAGCTCAGTCATGCTCAAGTCCGTTCATTGTAGCCCTAAGAGTGCCGTTGCTAGAACAGCATGCAAAAGGCTTGACAGCAGCCCGCTGCCAGGATCACCAGCATGGAAACTTTTTGACGATACTTCGGTCCTCAGCTTTGATCACAATGAAGACCGGTTGTACCGGACGCTCAGGATGTCTCTCCTACCATGGTGAGTGTCAAGAAGAAGCCACCTCATGGTACTGCAGCTGGATGGAAGAAGCGTTCATTCTCTGCTCAGCATGAACCCAGTATACCGCAGTTGCGTCTAGAGAGCTTTCATTCAGCACTTCAGCTACGCAGACACAGGTGGTATCATTTCCTCTGCCACCCACTGCGCCGTGGTCAAGGCCACCGTCAGCAGCAGATTGAGCAAGATGGAGAGTCTGGCAACACGCTCTTGACTTGGAATGACAACGCATCACGGCCAGAAATGCCATGTCGACAGGATTGACCAACAACCAGGTTTTGCAGCCCGGCTCTATTGACGTCCGCCGGCGTGTTGCATCAGGTTGCCTTCTTTGGTTATCAGCCCTGCCTTATCAAAACTTCCGCATTCGCCTATGCGTCTTGCGATAGCGAAAGGTCCCACTCTTGGGCCGCAGATACACCTTATTCCATTGAAACACCACGAAACCTCTCTTCATTGTTGCCTGACCTGTTGATATCAAAGTATCAATGGTGACTTTTGAACAAGGATTCAGAAGCCGGGTATTACGCGTTGCCTTCGCGCAAATCGGTACCATGCTCATCGCTGCTCTAAAAACGGATAGATCTCCACACTCACCCCGCTCAGCGTTGCAAATGAGTGGAGATTGTCTAAACATGTCCAGCCTGCAGATTCGGCCCATCAATCAAGATTTCCTTTGGACATGATCTTTTATCAGTCACGTATTGATATCATACCACGATATCAGTTGCATCTTGCTACGTCGTCGTCGCCACCGTTCATAGCGCACACTGCGCCACAGGTTGAGGACCGGTGTTGGCACCCAGCCTATCAAATGCAAGCTGTACCCATCCAGAGCATGAGAAAGACGATCTACTACGAGGTTCCACAGAGATCAGCCAGGGAGGTTACACAGAGATCGCCTTCCGGTTCCGATGCATTTGCAGCTTCACCATCCGTCTCTAACATTGTTTACGCTTCTCTGTGGCGCTACAAGCAGCGAAGCAACGTCATTTCCTGATCACCGCCCGGGTTCTTCTGTGAGAGGCATAATACACTGCGACACCTCGTTCGGACTGAGTTGACAACTCCAACTAATCATCACAATAAGGATTTCTCCCCCTTTGTTCGAACCGAGTGTCGGCTATGGCCTCATCGTTCGCATGGGCGCCGCATTCGCCATTGACATGTCTCTCTTTTCCTGGGGTCTGTCCAGATACATGGCAGAGGTGCAGACATCCGAAATGTATATGACTGCCAAACATTCAGTGAAGACGGGATTAGTTGCTACTGCGGTTGTGTCCTCTTGGACCATTGCTGCAACACTGCTTAGTTTGACCACCGGTAAGGAAAGCCATCGCATCTGATGACCATTATACTGACAATTTCTCTGCTTCTAGATGGGTTCCTCTATGGGGTCAGGGGTACATTCTGGCATGGTGCTGGCGCGACATTCAAATCTTCATGTTCTCTTTGGCTGGTGCGTTCTCTTCCGGGGGTTGGGAAATCTGAGCTAATTGAAAAAGCAATCGAATTGAACAGAAAAGCACCTCGGGCGCGTACGTTTCTAGAAGTTGTCAAGAAAAGATATGGGCCAGCCGGTCACATTACTCTAATGAGCTACAGTTTAATCTTCCAGATATTGACGACAGTGGATTTGCTTGTCGGTGGCAGAACCCTCTTCAGCTCAATGACGGGCATGAAACGCGATGCCGCTTCTTTCCTCTTCCTGATGATTGGTAATTTGATCTACACCTTGTTTGGAGGTAATGCACAGCACTCTCGACTGTTCCCGATGACCTTGCTGACTGAATGGCACAGATATTAAAGCCACATTTCTCACAGACTGGGTATATTTTCAAGGATCCTTCATAAGAGGAAGCAGCTGATATGTCAAAGCTCACACTGTCATCATTTACATTGTCATGATCATCACCGTCTTCGCCGTCTACACGTCTTCCTCAACCATCGGCTCCCCTGACCGTATGTGGGAGCTGCTCCGCGAAGCAGCCAAGTTACACCCCATCGAAGGCAACGAATCTGGCAGCTACCTCACCATGACGTCGCAAAATGGCGGGTTCATCGGACTAATATTCGCGGGAGCGTCCGTGTCAAATGACTTCCAGCTTTCCGAGACTCATGAGCCTTCTCAAAAGTCAAAACCAAGGATGTTCTGACACAGGATTGACGCATACTCTCGAAGTGGATGCAAGTGATGGTGTTGGCACGCTAAGAAGCCAAGAGACGATCGAGTTGTCATTCCCAAGTTCTGGAGCCGTCAGAATGAATGATGTCCCATGGTCCAAAAGGTTTTTCCGCACAAAGGAAAGTTGAATGAAGCGACAAAACAAATATATGAGGACGGTGCGATTTGAACGCACAACCTTCAGGAGACTCCAGCTTTAAGGTCACGACCTGGATGATTCAAAGAACACAATCTGGAATCTGACGCGCTACCGTTGCGCCACGCCCCCATTTTGTAAGAGAAGGAATAGCAAATGGTTATATAAATTTTGGTTTTCTGGGGAACCGAAATCGCAGCAGCCAGCCGGCTTTCAACCAGACGCTTCAATTCGAGCAAAGAAGAGTTCAGAGCAGCTCTTTCTGTCACTGCCATTTCCAAAACGGCTGCTTCCATCGGATGCTTGTTTTCCTTCTAGCCGAGCGAAGAGGGAGCATCCAAGTATCAAAGACTAGTTTGGAGCTGACTCAGTGGCGTGTGTAAACGTCTCCACATGGAACAAGCCCCTTGCATCCCAGCTCAGCGCGATCGTTGTCCGTTTCCACCGCCGCGTCGCGCGTCACTATTTCTCCAGCACTTACCTGTTGGACCGACACCCATAAGGCGCGCTAGCTGTCCTCGTCCACGATTATTCTTTCCATCTCCTGGAATCATTCGCTGGAATCATTTGCAGGAACCGTCGTCCGCCGTCACAATGAACAACAGCACGCCGAACTGAGCCTCCGCTCGTCCGCCCGACAAACAGACCGATCGACCGACGACCCACCGCGCCGACGCAAAACAGGAATCCAAAGCGGGCAAAGCGTATACGACGTAAAGACGAGCAGGCGCAGCGGTGGGTCCGACCGCCGGCCATTCTACAGAGATCCAGCCAGCCTCGCCGCACGCGGTCAGCCAAGCAAAAAAAGCGTCTTAAGTTGTCACAAACCAAACGGTCCCCCGCGCCTTGTCGACGGATTGCTCCACCACCACCGCCGCCGCTACCGCACAAAAAAGGCAAAAGAAACGGTTGAGGATGATGCGATTTGAACGCATAGCCTTCAGGAACTTCCCATGTTCTCTTCAAGAGGCCTTGTTGAGGTCCTGGACGAAGAAACTTCTGGAATCTGACGCGCTACCATTGCGCCACACCCCCGTTTTTGATGCAGGGATCTTGCGGGGTTGCATTTATGTCTTGTAGACAAAAGACCATCAGGGGGTTAGGGGGAATTAATTGATTAATTGATTGATTGATTAATTATTTTACGTCTTGCTAGAGCTATAGGCTATCTAAGACGGAGCTATCTATAGGGGATCCTACGTATATTTATAAGGTAAGTAGGGATG